CACTCTACACCCTGCCAGCTCTCACAGACCCTTTAAGTTTAGCCTGAATGTCACTTCTTCAAAAAGTCCTTCTGTGACCCCATAGGGTAAATGGGCCCTCCTGTCATGCCCTTGCACTTGTGCTTTGGTTTCGTAAGGCTTATCAAAATTTGTGATTATTGAAGATGGCATTTGTTTTTATCTGTTCCTGTCCACCAGACTGTCTCTTATTCATTATTATTAACTCCAGCATCTAGCACAGGCTTGGCACATGGTAAGGGCTGAAGAAATATTTGTTGAATAAAGGAGTGAGTGAATAAATAAGCAAACACAACAAGGTCACAGATAAGCCTTCAAAGATGATTTATTCAGCACACCCTAGTGCTGTGCATGCCCTGAAATCCGTGGGCCGAGCCCCCTCACACCTGGAGCAGATGAAAGGAGGACGCTGCTACTTCCTCCCAGTTCTTTAGACATAGCCGGCAAACTTTTTGTTCTGTAATATTTCAGAATTAAAGTAGCAAGAATGGCACAAAGAATTCCCATACACTTTTCATTCAGACTCCCCAAATGTTAACATTTTATGATGTCTGCTTTATTAATCTATGTTTTTTCTAAGCCACTGGAGAATAAATTGCAGACACAATCCCCTTTACTGATAAATACTTCAGTATGTGCTTCCTAAAAACAAAGGTATGCTCTTATATAACCACAGTACAATTATCAAGAGCAGAAAGTTCCATTGATACAGCACTATTGCTCAATCCGGAAAATGTATTCAAAATTTGCTAATTGTCCCACTCACATCTTTATAGCAACATATATACATATTTTATAACATATAAAAATATGTTACTATATATACATATACATACATGTATATGCATATATGTTTTTTTCTCACCCTATTCCGTGACTCAATCCAAGATCACATGTTACATGCAGTTGTCATACTCTTTGGTCTCCTTGAATCTGAAACAGTTCCACAGTCTTTCTTTGTCTTTAATGACCTTGACATTTATAAAGAGTATAAACCAATTATTTTGCATAATGTCTTTCAATTTGGGTTTGTCCGAAGTTTCTTCATGATTAGATTCAAATTATGCATTTTGGAGGCTGGACTACCACCGAAGTGGTGGTGTGTCCTTCTTAGACCATTACAGCAGGAGGTACATGATATCTATCTGCCCAGTTACTAGTGATGATAACTTTGATCACTTGGTTTAGTTATTACTATTTTTCCTTTTATAATTAGTTAAGTTCTTGTGGAAAATACTTTGATATATAAATATCATGACAGCCAAAAGTAAAAATTACCCAACTCCACTCTGTGGCCCAATTAATTCCCCATAAATAAAAACGGGAACATGTTTAAGGTCTGCCTTGTGAGTCACAAAACAGCTAATTGTGCAACTTTTCCTACTGTAACGATCTATTAACATTCTACCTAACCTCCTTTTCTCATGCATACAACAAAAGAAACCTAAGATGCTATTTTTAAAAGAACATAAGAGAATCTCTAATCTCATTTCTCATTCATCAGATGAGAAAGACGAGGCCTAGACAGGCTAAGTGACTCACTTAAGGTCAGACAGCTGCTCAGGGGCACACCTGAAAATAATTACGTGTTCATTGTAGAGCAAGAAAGGAAAAAGTCAATTTAATGCCCTTCAAATATACAAGCCCTACAGGTATACCTAAAGCAATCTAAGGCAGGTTTGCTATGAGCACTTTAGAAAACGATGGAATTCTTACACAGATCCATAGAGTATCCTCCATGGAGCTACTGCAGTTTCTAGAGAAAGCTCAAGAGCTCACAGCTATGCCTGAGTTCTCCCTATGTTCTCTTTCTCTTTTTCTCTTTTCTTGAAAACACTCTTAAGTCATTCTAAAGACAAAGAGAAAACCCCATCATCCTGGGAGACCGCCTGAGAGATAACCTAGACAACATTACTAGGCTTCTAACCTAGAAATGTTACGCTCCTTGCTTAATACTTTGGAATCTTGCTTAATTCTAATCAATATCTTTTTACATGTTATTTTGCATCTGCACGAAGTAGTTCTGTCATAACCTTACCGTATTGTACAGACTTGAAAAATAGTTGGTAATCATCCCAAGAACATTCTAACATAGACTAGCCCAGCAGCAAGCAGCCTCCACAATGCCCTGGGACTGTCTTTTCCAAGGTGACTATATTGTTTAAAAATAACAATAAACAGTAGGTTTCAGGGATTAAAGTTCCATTCTCAACCTCCACTCAGAACACAGGATGGGACTGAGCCTTACCTGGCCTGCTCTGCATCCTCCAAGGCCTTTTAAAAGTAATGGAGATGCCAGCGCTCTGTCTAATCCAGTATCCCAGGGTGATACTGCCAGGTAACAGTTATTTTTAGATGATATTTAGCAGCACACCTAAAGCTATGAACCAGAGGTAAGGACATAAAGACATCCTGCACGATCTTTCGAAACCGAACAAGTAGCATTTCCTCCTTACCATTTTCTGGGAAGTACAACATGCCTAAAAATAGAAGCAGTGTTTTCATTAAGGGTTAACCCTTAATCAAGACTTGGTATAAAATAAGCAAGTTATATTTAAAAAATCATAAAATCAAAGATAGAAATTGCTATAAGAATTGGAATTTGTAAATTTATTCAAGCTTTAAAAACACAGGAAAGTGCTGTGTTAGAAGAAGAGGCAGCAGCGGAAGCAGTGGGAGCCTCAGCGCAGCTGTGATGGGGTGTCTGCCGTGCGCGGGCACCGTGCTCAGTGCTTCGTACGGCACCTTATTTAGTCCTCAGAACCATCTTGGTGTTCCTCCCATTTTATACAAAGTTAGTATAAAGTAAATAAAGCATTGGGATATTATCATACATTTGATCTAAGATTATAATCCCTTTTGTGGTAATGAATGAATAATCTTTGAATGTTAACCATCGTGCAGTCACTGCTGACTGACCTACTAACTCACTCCCTCACTTCTTTCCGGTCACTTTATGTGAAATCTGCCCTGATTACTCTGCACAAAAATATCAAACTCCTCTAACCCAGATATGCCTGAGTCTCCCTATTAAAATGTAAACTTCACCTTAAAGGCAAGGACTTTGTCTTCTTAATTGCTGTATCCCAGGACTAGAACAGTGCCTTGTGTGTGTTTAATATATATCTGCTGAACGAATGAATAAACTGAAAAGTCAAACTATAACAAAGATTAAATTTTAAACAAATCATTTGCTTTTCCTTCTTACATACAAAAGGATTTTAGTGGCTTGACTTAAGCTGCCAGAGTCCTTAAAAAGATTGAGTGGGGAAGTTTAAACTCATGGCTCCATTGGTTGAAAAATTTCCCTGAGCCAGCATGGATATTCACAGTCATTCTATTTGCTCTGCTTAACACAAACAAACAAAAAGGCCTTTACTTTCCTTTCTAGTTGCTAAACAAGTTTGAGTATTAAGTACTTCATTAAACACTAGAGATAAATCTTAAGTTAGGCAACTGCATTCACTGCTGGACAACATTCTCTGAGGCCCCAAACGTACCGAGGAAGTACCTGGGAGTAAACCACACAGTGAAATATGAGGGTTAACGACCTTCCTACCTAACGTGGGACATCTATGCTCCCTGTTTGTCCTCTTGTCCCTCCTAGGCTCGCTAGAACTAAGTGAACAACTCACTTAGGATAGTTCGTATAAATGCCCTCTCTGAAGACTCTTATTATCTCTTGCTGCTGGGAAGGCAAAGGCAAAGAGAGTTGAAAATTATGTTTCATGTTGGGGGAAAAGTCGTAACTATGATAGACTTTTAAGAAATGTGTAGGAGAATTGTTTTTTAGGGAAAACTTCCATTTTTGAATGAGCAAAAATTACTCCTATATGAGAATCTGAGATAATTAGGTAATACTGGGCTACAGAAATACAAAGATAAAATTTAATATGTGTTTAAAGTTTTAACATAAATGTGCTCTTAACTACTTCCACTGCACACACTTAGGCATCTATCACTGATGACTGTGAGGAGAACAGCTCTTAAGTCATTCAAGCAAAAAAAGCCTGTCAATTGATGGGAAAAATTACATGTTTATTTACTTATACTGAAGTGCATCAAGTTTTACTGATGTCGTTGGGACCCTTAGCATTACCTGTTTCCCCTTTACATTCTGCTTTTAGGGGGAAAAATAAAGTTATATTAAACAGATGCAAATTCTTTCTTCAAATACCTCTAGATATTACAGTTTTGCTTAGGCTAAAGATTCTAAGAGTAATAACATTGTATTCATTTCTCCCCCAAAATAGTTTTTTTTGAAAAAATGATATCAAAATAGGGGAGTGAAATCACCCATTCTTCACAACACTTTCCATCACAATGTTCTCTTCATATGCTACAGCTATCTCCAGGAAGATTATGTAACATTACATGACGAGAAAAAAGTTTTTGACGCGGACTCACACTCAAAGTATAATATGCTTTTGTTACTGTGCTAATCTTTCGTAATGAGTTTTGGCACAGCCCTCATTCCAAAAGAGAGTGGCAAATGTGTAGTTTTAGAAATACTGGCATCCAAGAAAATATGTTAGTCACTTCAAAATTCTAAATGTAGTCAATAAAATAGACTCATAAAGCAGATTTGAGATACGAGGCTAACTGGGAGAGCTGTGTACCAGCCCTTCTTAAATACTATTATTCAAACACCATTATGACCGTGAACATTATGTGTAAGTTAAAAAAAAATTGGTTAATATAAAAGTCAATGAAAAGTACAAAATTTACACATTAACATGCCCTTTATATTTCTGATGGGGTTTTGACAAACATAATTTTTAATTCAGCAGAAAGATCTTTAACAACACATGTTCATAAACCTATTGGCCCATCTGATTCTGCTTAGCTCCAGAAAAAGTCCTTGCTCAATACATTAGCATATTCATTGGTTTTCTTTCAAAATCTGGATTGAAGATGTTTAATGTTATTATGCCTCCAATCCTTAAGTGACAGCAAATCTTATTCTCAATTTTAATACTCACAGCTATTGCCTGCTCTGTTACCCCTCTGTCCAGCTGAATGTTCTGGCTCCTTGTATGGAAACTGTAGAGTTGTATCTAAGGTTCTGAACCCTTCTTTAAGAGAATGATGCTTGTAGTACTCCACAAGTTCCTTCAGAAAAAAGAATCAAGGATGATTTTTGGTAAGGATACCTTTACTCTCAAACATACAAACTTCTTAAGACATAATTACTTACAATATAAGGATGATCAATTTAATGTTAAATTTTCCATATGTATACAGAAGAGTAAGTAAATGATAATCTTTCCCTGCAGTCTGGATATACATGACACTGACACAGTAGTTGTCCTTGCTACTCAGGCCATTTATAATATGTCACCCCCTATTGTTATTCACAGATAGAGAACATCCTGTTAGTCTTTAGTCACATGTGGTAAATGAAAAGAAACTGTATTAAATCTCAATTTCAGAGTAGTAATTATTGTTCTTATTTATTAAATACTTGCCTTTCTAAACAAAAATAAAAGGAACAGCTGCTTGCTGAATATATAGCAATTTCTAGTTTCCTGCACTTTCTTTGAACATGGCAGAAAAACAAACTTGATACTGAATATACTTTTCCATGGTAAACAAAAGTTGATAAAGCACAAATGGTACTTGATATTGTTTCTGGTTTATGATGATGAAGTGTTAGTGCCCATCACAGCTCTGTATATTATCTGCTACTCACGGAGGTCAATAATGTGGTTCTTTCCAATTCTCTCTAATAAAGAATTTGCCTTAAATACATCCAAGTCTAATGTAATAACCACCCACCATCTTTCAGACTAAAGTTTCAGGAAATTTCTTTTCACATGTTGGTTTCATAAATTCTGCACAAATTTGAATCCCTCTACTGTAAACAGAAGTTGAATAATAATTCATAAAAATGCATCTTATCATTAGATGAGAACTATAAAGTTTCTTAGAAATATCTGGAATGAAAATAAAAGCAAAATCACTTTTAACTTAATTATTAAGTGCTTCTATTATAGCACCTTTTTAAAAAAAAAAAAAGTGAAAAAGCAACTCAGTTCTTCTAAAAACCACACTGTCATTGACTCAATACCTCCATTCAATGGCTATGTTGAAAGGTGCCAAAATGAATCAATCAGGCCAAAAATTACCCAAAAGAAGAAAAAGAGCATCATCAATGATTTCTTTACTATTTATGACAAAACCTGGACAAGTTGTAGAATACACCGTGCTGTGAATTTCATGGGTCACAAAGATTATAAAGATAAGGTTCCTGCCCCCTAGAAGTTCTCATCCTAGAAGGGAAAGTTCAAAGGCATGAGAGAGAACTTCACTGTGTGTGTCCAGTAGGGAGAAGGAGGGAAGGTTTCATGATAGAAGTAACTTGTCTTAAATTGAAGAACAAGTAAAATTAAAACAGCCAGGAACAGCAGAAGGATTGTTTTAGGTAGAGCAGCCAGGCTGGGAACAGACATAAAGGCGATAAAGTAAAGACCACCTTCATAAACTAAAAGCAACATGGTTTGGCTAAAGCATTGGATAAAGCCAATGCAGGTTTTTCAATCCCCACACCTGTGATAAACCTTTTCACAGACTATCACAGAATATACATAGTGCCTGAACATGTGAATAATCATAACAGCTACCATTATCCCATGGGCCAGGCTCAAGAACCTTATGAGATGGGCCTTTTTACCATTGATGCTCGAATCTCAGTGAGGTTAATAAATACAGCTGGTGTGTCTCCAAAGTTCATGCTCTGAACCACATCCTACTATTAGCAAGTAGTACCTGGCAAATGTCAATTTTAAAAAGGGAGGCAAAAGAGAAGTAGTATTTGTTAAGTGTCCACGATGCACCAGGAACTTTGTTTTCTTAGACTTAAGATGCCAGGGTCTGATACACATTATGTCTATAATCTAAAAAAAAATATCTCTTCCTTTCTTTCTTCTTTCCCTGGGCCCAGATAGGGGTTCTTGAAAAAGTAAAAAAGAATTTGGAATAAGACCAACCTTTAAAAACAAAGAAAAACAACAACAATAATAATAAAATATCAGATAGAATTTTATATCCCCAAAATGAGTTCAATGATCAGAATATTACATTTGTATTATGGTGATTTTTAACACTGTTTGCAAAGACAAGGTCTAGAATTAAAGTCTACTTAGTGACCAATATAGTTATTTAAATTTAAAAAAATACAAAGCAAAATTTTGTAAGGTCTCTGGAAGAACTGTGCATGTTTGTATTGTGTCACTGACACAAATGATACCAAAGGGTTGTTCTGTCTTGTTTAAATTGAGTAAAATGTGCTATTTTCTTTAGCGGTATGGAAACAAACCTGAAAGGAATTATAAGCCAATAGCTTGAACTTAAATGTAACTTTGCTATAGGTAATGTGAATTTTATGAATTTTGCTACGAATTACTGTGAATTAAAGTTTATGTGAAGTTGGCCTGAAACCATAGAATTAGCATACTGAAAAGGGATTTGGTGATCATTTAATACCTACCCATCTCCAAATTTTATGGAAGAAAAAAGTAACTTTCTAGGCCTAGGGTCATGTGGCTTAGCAAACTGCAAAATACTCATCACTTCACTAAGCATGGAAGAGATTTTAGTTCCATTTTTATAGTCTTATGAGAGTAAATCTCCCTACATGTTTCTAAGGGGTAGAATTAAACAGTGCCACCATGGATCTTTTCCAATTCATGCCTTTATGCTTTCTGCATTTTAGTCTAATCCACCCTTGCTTTAGCAGTCATTGACCTTCAGGTACAACAAGTACATAAGAAGACTCTAAACAAAAGAAATCGCTAAGCTTTCCTTATCTCACACTGACACAGCAGTGTCAACAATTCAAGTCTCTGTGAAAAATAATGAGTGAGAGCCAGTCGTTCCAATTACCAAGGAAACAGGCAAGGGAGACAGTTTATAAACCGCATTTGGACACGGATTGTCTGGCATACGTGAAAATTAGAACAAAATTAATGCCTTGTAATCTGGATACAGAAATCCATTTAGGATTTGAATTTAATGACAAAGAAAAACAAAGATTTTGATTAACCAAGCTATTGAAACCCAGGGGTAAGGGGTTAGGTTATAACCGCCTACGGCCGATCTTCCCTAGGAGAAACTGGTTAATTTAAAACAAGCTCTGGAGTTCACTTGTATTTTACATCTTTTCCAGATTAAAATTTAGTTCCAGGGCCTACTACATTTCAGAGGTAGACAGTATAACTTCAACACCAATAATAGAAGGATTCTTAAGAAACAACTCAAATCCACAGACCACTACTTACTTACAACGGGAACTGTGTTAGCTGACACCAACATGGGAAAGGTGACTGACTACAGGAGGTTGCATGATCCTGATTTTAAAAAGCCCCTCCCTACACCTTTTAACCTTCTATTTCCTTCCAAAAGGTCTGGTTACTGAAACATGAGCCATTCCTTCTGACCAAGTATCCCTGTGGCATTTCCCAGCCTAGATTCAAAGGACTGAACTCTTGTGAGGTTCTTGGTACACATGTATTTACCAATGTGTAAGCTTGTTTAGAATGGCTAAGTCCTTTTTGAATCCAGTGATTTTTGAAACCAGTGATTTCATATAGTAAGGACTCAATATAAATTTTCTCAACAAATAAACAGAAACAAAAAGAAGGGTCAGCTCCAAACTAGTTCAGCTGCCTCTTCAGCAAATTTTACAGTTATTAGTTAAATCTGACCAAAGTACTTTTCTGATACTGAGATTTTTTCAGCTCCTTGTCTTTCTTTCTTTCACAATTACATCCTTTTGCTAAAGTTTTTTGGTTTCATTGTAATTTTACTGTTAATTCTTAATCCCTTCCCTTTAACACACTGTGATACGTGCTTCCTTACAAAAGATTCTCAGATAATGGAGGAAAAAATATATTCATGAGTCTCTAACGGTGGCATTTCTGAGATTCTATACATACCCTGTAAGGGTAGCTTATTTTAGCCCTATGACAAGGAGTTCTGGAATAATTCCTTTTCCAGAACTTCACTGCAAAAACCAGAGAGCTCTCTGGTGCAAATTTATTTGACTTCTGGGTCTCTATGGCTTTTACTATAATCACAGCTTTACATGCAGATAGGAACTCAAGGATCTATGTCTACCAATCGAGGTCACTGTGATATTTCTCGCTTTTCATATCTAACCTAAGCTACTGAAGAACTTCCTTGAGCTGAACCCAGGTGACACAAAGCTAAATTGACTGGCCCTTTTGCAGTGACTATTCCTCTCATCCTCTTTGCTTGTCTTCTCTGATGGGAGTTCCCCTTGCTACTTTCAAAGTCTGCAAGACTGGTAGGCATCTTTGGCCCTGCAGCTTTTTTTTAAGTCCTGTATTAACTGTAACACTATGGAGCAGCCTCATTACCATCCAAGGAAGTGCTGCAGGTGAAAGCTCAAGCTGGTGTGTCTTGCAGAGATGTGGAGAGTCCCTGTGTGTGCTTGAATCATGTTTCAGCTGCATCTGTCACTCATTATTTGTGCATCTACTCGCCACCTCTCTCCTAGGTTTTCATTTTATGAAGAACCTCCTCTGGTCCAAGTCTCTCTGTGCACAGCCTGCTTGTTTCAACAGAATGTAAGTCACATCCATCAGGGAGGATGCCTACATCTCGGTTACCAGTTTGGCAGAGTTTGCGTTTTCCAGGACATGACCTTGCTGCCCATCCGTAGCTTTTGAATTGGGAATGTGGCATTTATGTCCAGAGAGGTTTTCTTATTTTTCTTTCAACTTGAGATGCTTCGATTTCTTTAAAACACTGATTCCTGTCTTGATGCAGTTGTAAATTTTTAGATAAGGCATTCAGGCTGTCCTGTTTAGTAAGGCTTTCTTATGTGTAGTTTTAACTTTATTGTTAACATCTGCAAAGTCCTTTGAGATGTTTTCTGGAAGGATGCAGTGTGTATCATTTGAACGATGGTTCAATCAATGAGTGGTCCCTCCCATTGTTACTCAAAGTACTTAGCAGCTGCAAATGCATCTTATGTCTTGCATCCAAATTCTTCATTATCTCAAGAAACTATCAAATGTGAGAAACAGACTTGAGATGCACATATGATGGCCTATATGCATCGTTTATATGACATATACACGATATTCTTAAGTGCTAATGCCGTTATTAAGTTGCAATTTTTTAAAAATTGTACAGATTTTTAATCAATAATCCTTTGTCATTTGAAGCAATTTGGCAACAATATACTATTTCCATTTAAATGTAAAATTCCTATGAAATATTAACTGTTGTGTGGCAAAAATGTTACCTTGTCACTACTTAATTGTCCAAGGTAATGAATGAGGACCATAGCACAGATCATTTAAAATAGGAGAAAATATGAAAATCTTTGACTTTATATTGCATTTTGTATGAAATGAACCTAAATGTGAGAGGTATTTTGCTAATTATAATGTTCCGTGTTATAATTAAAAATACATTCCTCTATCTCGATGAGGAGATACAGGTAATGGAAGGAAGAAGAGGAAAGAAAGACACATTAAAAATTTGCTGTGTGTCATTCAAACACAAGCCAAAACTCACACAAATAATTGGAAATTGTTTGTATTTATATTTGAATCTGTCATTGCTCTAAGAGTCTTAAATAGCATAGACTTTGAAGTATTATCTAACACTTGCAAACTTAGTCTACAATGAAAAATATGATTTGAGCAATATAAAATTTAATTATAGCTCTTAAAATTATAATTTTCAGGATTCTGCTGCAAAGTTATAATATGATTCTCTTTAAATAACTTTTCAGTGAGCAAAATTTCCAAGAAATTACAGAATTAAACTGACCTTTCTAACGAGAAAAATAGGGATCACAGATTGAAAAGAAATAATCAATGCTTACCATTAAACTTTTAAATTTTCTATTTTCTGCAATGTGAAAAAAGCCATCTCTTGTTAAAATCTTGATGTGCTTTGCTTCATTATTGTACCTGTGGGCAATGAATAACTTATGAATATAAATGTGTTTTTAATCAGTAGAAATCAATAATTACCAGAGGGCATGCCCCAATAACATTATAGGAATTAATTCTGAAGAGAAAATATATACCTATGCCAATACACTGGTGGCAGCTAATTAACAAAATATATTTACTAGATTGGTTGAAGATACAACCAATATTTGAAGTGAGAAGGGGAGTTGGATTTAATTAATCATTATACTCAATTCATTTTGTGAGTTCAGTTAGAGAATGTAGAAAAACCAAATAAAATCTAGCAATTTGTACTCTTAGAACTTACTAGAAATACACATACATCAAATCAACAAAATACAATATTATGAAAGAAATCTAATATGCCAATTAGCAGCCTATAACACTTATTACTGTTTTTCTAACAGATATTTTCAAGTATTAATGAACTGTCTGGATAGATGCATTATTTCTGCTGCAATTAGAACGCGGGTTTTCAACTTTAGTGTTATACATGTCAGATGGTCTATGCAATTATGAAAACAGGAAATCTATTTCTGTAAAAGTACTTGTCCTACTTACTTAATGCTAATTGCATATTCTCCTGACTCTTTGGTCCTGTGCCTCACAAGGTAAGTACTATTTACCCTATTAATAAGTTCAGTCTCTGCCTGCAATCTTTCCATTGCTCCAGCATACCTGTAAGAAACAATGACACAGAAAATCTCGATAACATACCTGGAAGAAAACAGAGGCTAAAAATAAGTATCTATCAGGATTTTAATTTAGTGGCAGATCTGAGTTGTTTTTACTTCTATACTAATTACATTGCTTAAGAAAAATAATTCAGGAAAAAATCCTTTAATATGTCCAAATAAAAATGCTCTACAAAGCTGACAACAACAAAGTGAACAGTGCCTAATACACAGTAAGCACTCAGTAAATATTTATCAAAGAAATAAATGGGATAAAAAAGAGTCAGTAGGTATTGGCTGAGACAGTTGTGGGGAATTTACGGACAAGAGGGTAAAAGACTCGCGGGAAGGGACGGCCCTGCATAAGACAGACAGACAGACAGACAGACACACACACTCTTTCCCTTTTCTATGTACACTATGAAATGGAATATCCTTTAAGCATCTTTTAAATGAAAATTCTAGTAACAATTGAAATTATTTTTAAATATTTTTGTATATAAGATTATTTCTTATAGCCTACAATTTTGATAACCAATTTTTTTAAAGAAATTAGTAATAGTGAGGCTGGACACAGCGGCTCATGCCTATAATCCTAGCACTTTGGGAGGCTGAGGTGGGAGGATCGCTTGAGCTCAGGAGTTCAAGACCAGCCTCAGCAAGAGCAGACCCCGTCGCTATAAAAAATAGAAAAATTAGCCGGGTGTGGTGGCAAACACCTATAGTCCCAGCTACTCAGGCGGCTGAGGCAGGAGAATTGCTTGAGCCCAGGAGTTTGAGGTTGCAGTGAGCTATGATGACACCATTGTACTCTAGCTTGGGCAACAGACTGAGACCCTGTCTCAAAAAAAAAAAAAAAGAAAAGAGGAAGAAATTAGTGAGTAAACTTTATTTTTAAAAGGTAGATATTTTTGAAAACCAGAATTTTCAATTCTTCCTAGACTATGGTGGCCTAAACATATCCAAATGCCATAATAATAAAAATAACTACAATAATAAAAAGGCCCAAATTCAATGTTAAAATACTCTTTAATGATTCCTCACATCAAATATAGGTGTAACACCCGCTGGCAAAATATATCAGGGATTTTGGGTACTAGAAGTTAAAGAAAAAAATTCTATGTTTAGATTAGCTCTCTTTCAAAGCTATTCAAGAATTAATATTCCAGAAAATTCTGTGATTCACATACAGACTCACATAACTCAGTATAAATATCCACCTCTAGGCTAGATATGGTGGCTCACGCCTCTAATCCTAGCACTCCGGGAGGCCAAGGCAGGAGAATCACTTGAGGTCAGGAGTTTGAAACCCGCCTGAGCAAGAGCAAGACCCTGTCTCTACAAAAAATAGAAAAAATCAGCTGGGCATGGTGGTGCGTGCCTGTAGTCCCAGCTACTCAGGAGGCTGAGGCAGGAGGACTGCTTGAGCCCAGGAGTTTGAGGTTGCTGTGAGCTAGGATGATGATGCCGCTGCATTCCAGCCTGGGTGACAGACTGAGATCTTGTCTCAAAAAAAAAATCCACCTCTAGTCTAAATTAAATATTTATTTAAAATGCACACAGTAGACATCTGATAAAAGCTTATTGAGTGAGAGCACATTAGGTTTCCATCAAGCATAAAAGAGGAGTTTGGGCGTTTTATGCAGTGGTACCTTGGGTTAAAAGAAAAATTACAGCAACTCATAAACCATTAGGACCTAGGATGATCTGACCCATGCCTACCTCTCTTCAACCTTGTCTCTTATAACCCCCTTCATCACACCAGTCTCCAGCCTTCTTTCAGGTCCAGGAACTCATCAAGCCCCTTTTCAGCCTAGAGTCTTCTCACAGACTATACTGTTGTCTGGAAACACTCACCCTCTATCAACACACAATTACTTCTCATCACTCAGGTTTAGACAGGAGTCTTGTCTGACCATCCCATCTAAAGAATGTTATCCTGCATGTCGCATTACCCACTCCATTGTACTACCCCTATTTTCATGGCACTCATCACAATCAGTATGTAGTGCATGCATTTTTATCAAAGTAATACATGAACATAGTTTAAAAAGTCAACTTGTACTGTAATTATAATGAAAAAGTAGCAGTACTCCATCTTACCAGCATTCTACTCCAAGTTCCGTTTCAAATATTTTACCTAATTTTTCTTCTTTCTACTTTGTACATTTCTAAATAACATGATTATACTACAATTTCTTATCAATTTTAGACAGAAGAAAGGAAAATCATTTTTTTCCCTGCTTCCTATGCTCAGTCCTTCATAGCACTGCTACTCACTCCTCTTTCTGTAACCTCTGCAAACCTAAGCCAGCGTCTGGCCCAGTCTTAGCACAGTCAAAGAATATCTGACCTCCAAAATGTAATTGCTTATATGTTTTAGTTTGCTCAAGTTCTTTGTCTCTATCACAAATTCTTTCCAAATTATCCAAATAAACCACCCAATAATACATTTTTCAACACCACTGCTATGGTTTGAATATCCCCTCCAAAATTCATATTGAAATTTAACTGCCATTTTAACAGTATTGGGAGGTGAGACCTTTAAGAGGTGATTAGGTCATGAGGGCTACACCCTCATAAATGGTTAATACCTTTATCGCAGGAGGGGTTAGTTATCTAGAGAGGGGTATCTGATACAAAGGATGAGTTAGGTTCTCTCCCTTTCTCTGTCTCTTGAGTGTACTTCCTCCCAGTGTTACGATACAGCAAGAAGGCCCTCACCAGATGCAGCCCCTTGATCTTGGACTTAGCAGCCTTTAAAACCATGGGTCAAATAAATCTCTTTTCTTTATAAATTACTCAGTCTGTGGTATTCTGTTACACAGTTGAGCAGCCCTAATACAAATACCTGAAATCCTCCAAAATTTGAAACTTTTTCAGTACTGACATGACTCCACAAGTGAAAAATGCAGGTTGCAGTCAAAATGCAGTAAAAACTTTGCTTTATGCACAAAACTAAAAATATTGTATAAAATTACCTTCAGGTTATGTGTGTTAGGTATACGTGAAACATAAATGAATTTTGTGTTTAGACTTGGCTCCCATCCCCATGATATCTCATTATATATCTGTAAATAGTCCAAAATCCAAAAAACCTGCAATACAATACACTTCTGGTCCCAAGCATTTCAAACAAGGGATACTCAATCTGCAGCAGCAGAAAATGGACTAAGACAACCACGTAATCTATCTGTTAATTTTTCTATGGAGCCTTTTCTTCTGAGCCCTCCACTCTCTTGGTGTATTGATACTGCTTTCTCTCTAAGCCTGCTGAGTTACTGTAGTCCTGGGACTTCTCTTTGCTCCCTTTCTTAAATTCTGTATCTCCCTCTTCTGCATTTACTAGCTCACCCCTTCAGCTTTTTATAAATGTATACATGGGATATAATACTCTAAAGGCCCACAACTATGAAAATATTTTATTTTACCTAACAATTCATAATTTGGCTGGGTAAAGAGTTCTAGGTGAGAAATTATTTTGCCTCTCAAATATTAAAGCATTGCTCTACTATCTTCTAACTTCTATTCAATGCCATTTCTGAGCCTTTGTATGTAACCTGATTTTTTTCTCCCTAGAAACATTCAGATTCTTTCTATATTCTCGATACTGAAAACTTTCATGAAATGTGCTTTTTTATCTTGCCCTGGGCTTTCAGTATCATCTTCAATTTGAAGCCACATGTCCTTCAGTTCTGAGGAATTTCTGTACTATTTCTTGATAATTGCTGCCCTCCATTTTCTCTTTCTGGAGTTCTTACCGGTAGAAAATTGTACTTCTTAGGTCAATAATTTAGTTTCTATATCTTTTCTCCCATATTACCTTTCTCTTTGACTTTTTGGAAGACTTATTCCAACTTTTCCAACTTTTCTACAATATTTAATTTATAAGAACTCTTATTCTGATTGCTCATTTTGTAAAATATCCAGCTCACTTCCATTGATATGATGTCCTCTCTTAATTTTGAAGGAGTAAATAAAAGGGTTTTTTAAAAAAATTATTCTGCCCACTCTATTGTCTATTTTCTTCAAATTTCTTTTTCCCATTTAATTTATTTGTTCTATAGTTCAAGGCCTTCCTCAAATGCATGGTCGCCCTTTGTTGTTTATTCATATTTAGGAGGGAGGCACCCAAGAATCAACTGGAAGCTATCTGTGTGTGTAGGTACCAAGGTAGGCCCGTTGGGTAGAAGCCTAATCATTTGGCAAGAATCTGATAATTGGGCACCCAAAGTGTTAGAATTTTAGATTTTTCACTCTATGTCTATTCAGTTTCTTTAGACAAAAACCTTTCAAGCTCCTGTCTGGATGCAAGGAGAGGGCAGTATGTGTGAGACCCAGCTGTCACAGTGCTGACATTTGGCACCCAAATGTACTGGGGATCAGCATCATTCTGTAAACAGACTTTTCTTAATTTAATCCCTCTTTTCTCAGTATGGCATCTCCCTAAGCTCTGTTAGGCCTGGTCTTTCCAAGTCCAGACCCTAAATGATTCAGTTTTTCCACATAATATACCTTCTAACACCAGAGTCTCCTGCCAGTGTAGGAAAGAAAACACTGATTACCAGGTGAGTAGGGCAGGGACCCTGGCATCTACCTCCTGTTCTACACACAGATTTTCAGATAGTTCCCCAGTTTTCAGCCTCATACCTCATACTTGCCTCTGACACCCAAAAACATAGATTATTAAACATAATAATCTTGATTTTCTATTTTATTTCATGGCCTATATAAAAGACAAAATTTACATTGTGGGAACAACTTACTTTTAAATGTGGAAATAATGAATAGATAATATAGTTGGTGATATTCAACTTCTCTGTGACTTGAGGACTACCATACCATCATTCAGTGTAATTGACTCTAAACAGTATAGTATTTCTAAAATTTAAGATTCCATTTTCTGGTGTAGTTGATCATTTTGTTCCCTAGCAGAAGACATTTCACATGAAACTGCCTGCTTAGTTTGAATAAACCATCTAAGGAAAAGAAAGCAATTTTAAAATTCTACTATAAAATATCTTGATTTCTTCTTATTTTCAAAGCTTTTCCTTAGTCTGACCATCTTGATTTTTTATCATTAAGAATAATATTGTTCTAACGGGTCCCATTTTCAGTAGAATTTTATATATTGGAAGGGGGTATTTTAAAACAAAGTGCATAAAAGCTACCCTCGTGTGCCCTAAATAGTTCTTAGGTACCCGATCAGTTTATTTCATAAAATCCACATAGTTTGTGGCATTAGTATTTATCCCTAAAATCATTACCCTTGTAACTATAACGCCTAGTTACATAAAAATGGTAATAAAAGAAAAGAGAAGGAACCTAATCATTACATGTTCATGATTATTGCCAGTCCTTGATGTTTTTCAGTTTGACTGTCAATGCTATCAGCTCTAATCTCCAAATTTAATTCCTGTCAGGATATGATTTAAAAGTCCACAGAAACTAATGAGACCTTGAATTTGTCTTATATCAGGTAAAAATGAAGCAAAGATTCCCAGTTCTATCACGAACCTGCTGCAATTTCCTCAGCAAGCTCAGTGCTGAGGCCCAGGGAGGGACATCAGAGGGGTATAGAAGGCACAGGAGCCTACTGGGGGCCCGGAGGGGCATCTGAGGAGGAAGAAAGCCATACCTTGGGCAACAGATTCCTGCACACTGAAAAGCAACCTGGCATGTTCCATGCTTTGATCATAGAATGCAAAACAATCAGAATATTAAAAAAAAAAAATCAGACAATTCAGGTGGTATCGACACTTGCAAACCGAACCAGTATATTTTCAGGATATTTCATTATATACATACCCTGATCTCTTATTTGTATGTATATACTTTAATATAAGGAAATGAAAACAGAGTTAGTCATTTTAGGAGAAGTGAAACACAAAATTCAGCAAAACAAATATACATGATTAATGCGCCTACGTTTTGTATTTTGGGGGTCTGTATAGCAATGTACAGATGGCATAACTTAGAGTTCTTATTCTACCACTCGCTCTCTACACAGCCTTAATCTTTGTTTCTTCACCCATTAGAATAACAACAACCTTCCTTATATAAATATTTTTAAAAATAAAATAAAATGTATAAAGTACAAAGCACATAGTAAATACTCAGTATATATTAATTATTATGATATGATAATCATAACTATTCCAGGTCATAAATATATTTCTTACAGTTGAAGATAGCTAGGAAATAATAATGACTAATGACTTCACTTCCTTGGTTTTGTTAATGAGACTGCCAGCCTCCAAGGGGAAAGTATGCTCCATCCAGATCCAAAACTTACATATGGATATAACTTGCTGCTCCCAAATTACACACTGTAAATTACATTTTTAGAATCTACTACTGTCCTTTATGAGCTAATTTTTAGTTTCAGACAATGAAATATGTATTTTTTCCTATCTGCTTCATGAAATCTACCTTTCTAAAATACAAGAAATATAAGATACATATGCCTATGTCCCATTCATTTCTGTGACTGTTATAAACTTTGAATTTAAGGTCAAGGGTCCTCATACACATACACACACACACACACACACACACACACACACACACACCTCTCTCTGATAAAGATGTGGAAAGGTCAGCAATATGTGAATTCATTATGGTGTTTTGTTACATCTGAAAACACCTTTAGCCAAGACAAATGGAAATGGAATGTGGTTTACTACCCCCACATTTAAGGCATCCTGGAGCTAAGGGTATGGTATTTCAACTTAGCTACATAAACATTTTTAATACTTACCAGGGTTGGCAAGAATAATCTACCGGTTTGGGCACCTAGAATATAAAAAGGCAAAAATAGATTAAGTTTACTTAAGGGAAGCTTTTAGAAATCAATCATTAATTCAGTTCAGCTGACTCAGCTCTATAAAACCCTAAGTAGCACAGTCCTGGAACTATCCATTGGCAATTTTATACAGAGTGAATCATAGTATATGTCAGATAAGTAAAAAATAATTCATTTCACTTTAATTCATTCTTTCATTCATTTTACTGCCACTGTAACTCTAAGGAGAGAGAGAGCAGGAAAATATGAACTAGAAGATTTTAATATTTATTATCAAGGCAATTTAATCCTATCACAGAAAATTAAAATGAAAATGTTATTAAGAAAACCAAATAGTACTTTACTTTTCCAAGATATTGGGAAAACATGAAAAATAGACAATATACACTGGATGTAGACTGTTATTTTGAAAAATAAGTTCTAAACTCTGATTTTGAAATCTATCAACTAGAAACCTTTTATTCAGGAAAAAGTCATGGAAAATATTCATTTTCCCTTTTCTCATACAAAGCTTTGCACAAGAAAAAAATATTTCATTTTCTATTCAAATAAAGAAAGAAAATTCCCAGTGGCTGGTAGCCAACTGAAAAATGAACAAAGCCAAAGAAGGTATACTAACGTTCGAAAAATAACAAATAAAATACAAACTATAAGCAGGGGGACAAAATTTATAAATTCCTGAAAAAAAGACTGAGAATACAGATAGTCTGTTTTGTGTTTAGAAAATTTTCATGAATTATCCAAGTCTTTGATATATGCATTTTATGATATTCCTGGGACTTTTATAATAGGTGATTTAAAATACTGTTACCCTCATTTGTAACAGTAAAACCTATAGTATTTGAAAGATCTGGTCAATGTGAGTATGCCTCTATCTATGCCAGTTTTTCATAATGGGCTGTTACTATTTTGTCCTTCCAGGTTAAGAGATATATACAGGTTGAGTATCCCTTATCTGAAATGCTTGGGACTAGAAATGTTTCAAATTTCAGATTTTTTTTTTTTAGATTTTGGAATATGTGCAGTAAGTTCAGCATCCCTAATCAAAAATCCAAAATGTAAAATGCTCCAGTGAGCATTTCCTTTGAACGTTATGTCAGCTCTCAAAAGGTTTTGGATTTTATAACAATTTGGATTTTGAATTTTAGGATTAGGGATACTCAAACTGTATAAAAATTATCTTTCTTAGTCAGAACTTTCCTTTGATTATTAACATTTAAATATTTTTATCCTATGGATCACATTTTTAATATCATCACTTTGTAAAATCCTGATACACAGCAATTAATATTAAAGGTAAATTACACCCTTTCTAATCTTGCAAATATTTTCTTAACATCATTTTGTTTTTACAAAGAGAAATTTGACTGTCCCTTTTGATGATAAAATACATGACTTCTAAAATCTGATGGGAAAAATATTTCCTCTTTCACTCTTCCTCTCTGTACTCTGTAGTCTTTAAAAGACCATTATATGTTTATTCCTACAACAACCTTTCTCTCCACAGAGAACAAAAAAAAAATAGGAAAGATGAGGATAAAGAACTTCAACGTATTCTAGCTGTGGACTCCCTTGGCTGATAAAAGTCTGGAGATTCAAAAAATGAGAATAAAAAAGGAAGAGCGACATAAAATTCTAAAGCAGAACAGATAACTGGCTACTCCACCCTGAAATGTCCTACTGGAGCTTTTTCTCTTCTTAGTGGGTATATTCTGGCATGTGAAGATCCAGGACTACCTTCTCAGCTACATTCCATCTGTCATGGGTGCTCTCCACTTCTCTTCATATTTTGAAGATGCTTCATATTTAAGACTATAGATGATTTCCTTCTGGGTACTGTCTCATCTTTGAGAATATTGTTACTATTTTTCCTTAATGCTATTTTCTGCCTCCACCATAGTCAGTTTACATTGTTAAATTTCTGCTATAAATATATAATTCTAAAAAATATTTTGTTGGGAATATGGAAAGCATACAAGATGATGTATATGTATACATATATACATGTTATTATATATATGCTACTTCGGGAAGTACATCTTATAAAGTTAGATGGGACACTTCAAAGCGAACTTTCTCTGTGTTTGTTTCACTAGAAATGTCATTATTTCATCCTTATTTAGGAGAGATAAATTTCTAAGTTGACTAATTTTCTCTCAAACTTTCAATATATTATTGTGTCATATATTGTAATTTCACATTCTAGAATTTCCATTTGGTTCTTTTTTATAGTTCCTATTTCTGTACCGAGGTTTCCTGCCCATTCACTATGTATGTATCTTTTTGTGTGTCCAAAAGCAAGTTACAATCATTGCTTTTAAAATTTTTCCCTGCTAATGCATCATTTGGGACATTTCAGGATTGATCTCCTGTCATTCTCTTTTCTAGTGAGTGTGGTTCACATTTTCCTGTTTCTTTGCATATTGACTAAAATTTTCATTATATTTTGGACAATTTGAATGATATACCACAGAAGCTCTGGATTCTGTTATATACCTGCAAAGAGTGTGGCTTTTCTTAAAGCAGGCAGTTAACTTGTTTGAACTTCAACTATCTCGCCTGTGTTAAGAGGCAGCTGAATTCTTTTAGCCTAAGCTGAGGTGTTTGGAGTCTGTACTATTCAGCTGGAGACTCAGGTAGAGTTTATACACAGAATTTGAGGTTTTCCCTCTCTGACTCTTTCCTTTCTAAGATTTCCTACCTCCCTTTCCAGCTGCTGTAGTTGCTTTAAACTCTACATTCTGGTTCTTCAAGCTATAAATACTATAAGGTTTCTATCTGAATTTTAGCCACCTCACAAGGTACAATCTAGTGCTTGCCCTCAAGCTAGCCATAAAACCAGGAAACTACCCTAATATCATTTCCTTTTTCCAAATGTCAATTCTCTTAGCCAGTGCCTTCAGATAATTGTTTCTGTTTTGTTTTGTTTTGGTGTTTTGTCCACAGCTTATAGTTGTCACCTATAATCCTCTGGGAGAACTGAACCAATAGGAGCTACTTGACAATTACCAGAAATGAAGTGGAAACTTGTTGCTTCCATTACTGCTGTTGTTAGCTATGAGTCTAATAATCAACCTTTTATTGGCAATCTGTTTTCTCTCTTAGGTTAGAGTTTTAATTTTGTCTTTAATGTCCTGCAGTTGTATTAAAATGCATTGAGGTACTGATTAATTTTAATATACTCTTGTTGACTCTGAAGATTAGTTTTATCATAGATTCTGGAAAGTTCTTAGTCATTTGATTATTGTTTCCACAATTTCTTTTATTCTCTTCTTCTATTAGATGTATTTGAATCTCATCACTCCATTTTCTGTTATATTTTCCATTTCTTAATTTCTCTGAACTGTTGTGAGAAATTTCTTCAGATTTTTCTTGCAATTTTCTATATAACAGTATCTGATATGCCATGTAATGTGTCCACAGAGGCCTTCATTTCAATTACTATAGCCAAATCTTTTTGAAATATGCCCAGACAATTGGATAGTGTCTTGTTCTCCTTTTAGTTTTTATACCCTTTTTAATTCCTTCAATCATATTAAATATAACATTTTGAATTTAGTATCTAATAATTCCAATATCTGCTGTCTTTGTGGGCCTAATTCTATATTTTATTATTTCTGCTAATCTTAGCTCAAAGTGGTTTGTTTCATCATGAATTTAATGATTCCAAATTGTGAATTTATGTCCCCTGAGACTTTATCTGTAAAAATCCTTTGAGGACTATGTGTAAATAGGCTCCAATCCAGGGAGGATTTGTATTTTCATTGGGGGAACAATCAATGTGGAATCATTTTAAACTATCTTTCTAGCTTAGATTATTTGAGTAATAGAGCTGGTATAAATTATAGCCCTACATCTGGGTGGTTTGGGATTTAAGGTTAGAAATTTGCAAGACAGAATGCTTTCTTTTTTTCTACCCAACCCAGATCCAACACCAAGGTAGGCATATCTTCTGTGGGATGGATTTTTTTCCCAGTTCACCACTGAGGGCTCCTGGAATCACAGAGGTACACCTAGGTTTGCACTGTGCTGTAGCTCCAGGCTTGGTATCCAGTCACCATATTACAGAAGTGAAATTATCTCACCTCCTGTGTTTTCCTCACTTCTAGGTTCCTACCTGAATACCTCAGAATTTTTGAGGAGACAGGCACAGGATATACAGGAGAATAATTTTTAAGTTCAGAATGAAATACTTAGCACTACTCATGGACCTCTGATAAACAATATATCCCAGGGTCAAAAGTGATACCATTTTCCAAACTTCTTCAACCTATCCTCTCCTTCTACTCACCCTTCACTTAACTTGTCCTATAATTAACAAATAAACCTATAATTTCATTAATCAGTAAAATTTTAATAGCTGTTTATTAACTTTAAGCTATAACAACAAGCATATTTAGCTGGAAATCTACCCATAATTATGTATTACTCTATAATTTTTTAATCATCTTAAAATTTCTGAACATATTTCTCCTTCTAGCCACTTACTGGGTCACCAAATATCATTCACTATGCTTCTATAAGCTGATTTAATTCATATCTATCATTCTTAATTGTCTATATACAGCTAAGGACTTTCATTTGCTTTTTCACTCCTTTGTCCATTCATTCAACAGTAATTTATTAAACACCTACTTTGTGCCAGACTATCCCTAAAATGAAAGCTCAAATGCTCATTTTATGTTGTAGTCAAGAGGCTGGAAACAGAAAACAGTAGTTGGTATATGAAATGTTTAATATTCGTCATTTGAAGGCTTGCGGTTCACAAACATCTTAATGTTAGAATGCTTAATGTCTTGCCACCTCCTTACATATAAACATGGCTGCTTTACAGATAGAAAGCCTGAATCTCATTCATAAAATGACAAATGAGCCAAAAAATCATTTTTGCTTATCTAATAAAGGTGGTATCAGATTTCAACAATTTTTCCAGATAACATAATCTAAGATTTAAAAATGTGACATTAGATCACAGAACCAACAGAAAAGCAAATTTTAAAAATTTTCTTTGCTTTTGAAAATAACTAAAAGCTTGAAGGAGTAGAGGAGTAGAGAGTCTGTAAGTTATCTTACAGACTACATTCTGAAATCAAGGATGGCAGACATTCATATTTATAACATTAAAAACAATATCAAATTCAGGAACTACTGACATATAGCAAGCAGGATAGTTTAAGGAGAGTTTTTTTTTTTTTCTTTCAAGTAATCATCTCCATCATATTAGTAAAGGAATTTCATTGTCTTTGGAGCCAATAACTTAAAAAGTTTGGGGGAAAAAATCACCCTAAATATCAAATTATGATGCTAAAATCATGTCACCTTAGACAAATTTATCAATATCATGATGCACCAGAAAGTACCTTTTATGTTACATTCACTCATATTATTTGAATAAATGTCCATTTATTATCCTTTTATCTGTGTTTGATATTTTCAGAAAATTTTATTACGACATTAATAAACAGTAATGACACACTACAGCATAGAAAATGTATTTAGAGATTCGATTAAAGAATTTGTGGACTTTTCACTTTCTAGCATGCTTTCAAAGATACCAGCTGAAGTATAATCTTACCCTGTAACCCAAGTGACTGGGAATAGATTAGACCGTACCATTCTCACCTCAGTGGGAAAAAGGAAACTTGTATAATGCCTCTAATCTGTAGTCTTGGTTTATTTCTTCTAAAAACTTACAGAAAACTCAGTTTTGTAAATTCTATTAAGTTAAATTTGCCTCTTGCATTTATTTCCTTAACATTTAAAAATATTTTCTGACAATGGAATCATAATGGTGTTAGAAAGAATATGATCCCTCCAGAAAATATTAATAAAATGAATGAGCAACCTGCCCAGTATCCTTCATAGCTTCTTACACAATTAATCACAATATCAAAAACAAAACAAGAAAGAAATAAAATACTAGCACTTACGCATGGGGAAGGCTTGACAGCATCACTTGGAAAAAATCCAACCTCTCCAGATGCTAAATTTCTACCCTAAGTTAGGAAAAGAAAAATACCAAAGTTGAGAACAAAATTACTGCAAATGAAAGTCCCATAATGCTGCATACATAGTGCTGTTCCTTAGGATCCTCACAATTATTTCCGTGTTGTGACCAGTCCTGAGCATCAACTTCCTATGGCTCAGGAAAGGAAGAAAAAGCAGACGGTTTTCTTAATTGCTAAACTTCACACGTGGTTTCAGGTCATGGTTATAATTCAAGTTTATTTTTCAATCTACCCTTTAATTTTGTTAGCTTTACATCTCTCAATCCTATATAGAGATAATAGAATATTCTATCTTTCAATTTTACATTCATTAGTATAAGTAGATCACATTGGTTTTGTGCAGACACATAATTAATTAGGAATTCAATTTAAATGAATATTATTGGCCTGTCTAACAGAACATATGAGAACATTTCTCTAACAAGACGAGGGATATTTTAAGACATGGAAAAGGAAAACAGCCATGATATAAATTTCAGATGATTTTCAGATTTAGGAGAAAATAAGATACTGATTAAGAGAAGAAGACAGTTAAGATATTGGAGAATAGGATTATAATTCAAAATGGCATTGTAAATGAGAGAAGAAGGAAGAAACTAACAGAATAACAGGCAAAACTAAACACAAAATGAACAAAAAAAACACTTAAGAATTTGTTCTTGGAGACCCTTGGTCAAACTCCTCTTTAAAAAATTCTCATGATATCAGCCATACAAATGTTTCCCCTTTTCCAGAAAGACAAACTATGGCAAACATATGGCAACCATCAGAACATGTAATCACAAAGTTCTTCTGAGATTATTTCCATTTGTCCAGAGATTAGGCATATTTTTATTTGCTATTTAACAATTGCTTGCTTCTCAGTACCTCAGAGGAGTATATAGCATTGACTGAGTGCTATGTGTACCACTATTTTTGACCAAGATGAATAAGAAAAAATGATCAGAAAACATCTTCCTCTTAGAAGGATAAGGAGAAGAAAGAGGAGAAAAAAGGGAATGGGGGAAGAGTATGAAAACTAGAGGGGGAAGTAGAGTAAAGGGGTAAGGATCACAGACAGGGAAGGAGGGTAGAGGGGAAGAGGAAGGGGGTTTTAGGACAGAGGGAGATCAAATAAATAACCAACCAATGAGAAGACACTCATTTTGATGAGGCTCTAAAACTGCACTGCACTTGTATATCAGTGAAAAAGTATGTGGGCAAGTGGAATATCTATTCATTTACTCAACAAATACAGTATCTAATATTAATTTGGTTAGACATTGAAGAAAATATAAAAAAGCAAAGACATATATATATTTAATACATCTATATGTGTATGTGTGTGTGTATACATATATAAATATATAAGGTAGAAGGGGCTAAATACTATTAGAGAAGTACAGAGGAAAAGCTATGGAAATTAAAAGAATAGATTAATTATTGGGGGTTTGCCTGAAAGTGACATGGAAGAGTTGGCACATGAAAGTAAAACATGCAGAGTTTACATAAATGGAGGTGGAAATGGAAGAGAACATTCTAGAGACAAAATGTAGCATGAGAAAGGCACGGGGCAAGAAATTACAGGATATGCATAGGGAATGCCAATAATTCCCTTTATATGGAGTCTAATAATGGCTAATACTAATTGAACCCTTACTGTATGCCAGACACTGTTCTGAGTGTTTCATTCAATCCCTGCAAAGATCCTTTATGGTAGGTCTAATTACTACGCCCACTTTATAGATGAGGAAATTGAGACACAAAGAAGACAAATGATTTGCCCATGGTCACAGAGCAAACAAGTGCCAGAGCCAGAATTTAAACTCAGAAGTTCTAACCCCACCTCTCTATACAAGCATAAGACTCATCAAGAAGAACAGTGGAAAATAAAGGTAAAAGGTGTAAGGAACAAGGGTGACAATATCTGAATTTTATCATTGGTGATGATACTTCACTGATGGTGCTGTATATTTCAGAAGAATTAAACTGACATCAATGTGGAAGATGGCTTATTGATGGGCATGACTTTTGGAAGTGAGAATCTCATTAGGGAATTGGTACCATGATAAGGACAGGGACTAGGGGAGGAGAAACAGACTCCGGATACATAATGTGTAACAGAATGTTGGACACATAATCAGCACTTAATAAATGTTTCTAATTGAGGTATCTCTGAATCTGATATTTTCATGTTAACGAGTACCTTGACCCTAAATTCCTCTTCATTAAAAAGAATAAAATACGATAATGTACTTCATAAAAACATTTTGGTCAATGATGGTCCCATAAGATTATAATACCATATTTTTACTATACCTTTTGTATGTTTAGATACCCAAATACTTAATAATGTGTTACAACTAAAGTATTCAGTACAGCAACATGCCCTGCAGGTTTGTAGCCTAGGAGCAGTAGACCACACCAAATAGTCTAGGTATGTAGTGGGCCATACCATCTAAGTTTGTGTAACTACACTCTGTGATGTTTGCACAATGGTGCATTTCTCAGAACATATCCCTGTCATTAAGTGACTTATGACTGTATATTGCACTTCTTTTTTATATAGACAAGCACTGGAAAGCATTAAGCTGCCTGTTTCTATATGAAAGTATCCATAGAGTGACAGTCTTTGACCTGTCTCTGACATTTTATGTAATAACTGTATCGGGGAATGCAATGTCACAAAACAGAAGGGAACCGTGGACAGAAAGAATGAAAGAGTAGGAGAAAGTATAATGAATTTCTTAATTTATGAAGGTGTATGGGCTTGCACAGATTTATTTTCTTTCTTCCTTTGTAGAACCAAGTGTCCCACACAAAAGGCATAAATGGGAACTGAAATCATCTTAGACAGTAGAGGAAAGGGACATGATTGCGTAAGGAATGCCATAAACTGGGTGAACACATAATTTTCCATCCAAACCAGGATATTTCGAGAGTAAAGGAGTAGTAATTAATAACTATGCTAGAACAAAAGGTGTAAATTCAAATGGTTCTGGGTATACCAGTACACGTGGTCATCATATTGAAAACCATTTTGTTCTTTCTCACCTCACTACAAGAACACTATTGGAGGTCTTTCAGGAGAGAAAAAAATTTCACTAAGCAGGCTGCCAAGGTCATTCTGAATTGCTTTATTGTCAATGAAATGCCCTAGCAGTGTAGGTCACATTTCCTTAATGGTCACAGGCATTCCTTAGATGGCAAAGAGGTGAGAGATAATTTAACTAACCTTAACGGGTGAATAAAGTTACAATTCCTCACTAATTCCTATGAGACGTCAGTCTTAGCTACAGGAGATAATACATGCTGTATTCAGTAATTTCCGCTTACTAAGGAAATAGCCACCCTACAACATTTGGAGGATTCAAAACAAAGTAGTGTGTAGGAAGGGGGTGTTTGGTTCCTTGGTGGGTGTGTGTGGGACGCGGGTTGGTAATTCATTAATGCTAATGGGTGCAGCGGCTGCCAATCCCCTGTACAAAGACAGGACTCCACACTGTAACTGTGAAATAAGCCATCTTCAAAGCCAGTGATTTAGTGCACTTTATGTGATAATCTATCTGACATTTTCACTAACCTTGATGAGAGACTTGTAACTGAATTCCCTTCTTCTTTACATTCCTGTGTGGGCATTTTATTCTGGGTCAGATAATCAGCCTGTCATCCTTTATATGCCTATTACAAATGCCAGAGATAGGGAATCATCTTTTAGTTATCCTCCTGTCTGATATTTGTTCTGTGAGTCCCTTAACATCTTCAAGGTCAACTTGAAAATGTTTCTCTTTCATACTTATGTGTCATCTGATATACCATAGAGTGCTACCTTTATATGCATTTATTCTGCAGGGCATCTCTGTATTATGCGATGGGACTTTTGCAAATCTAACAGTGCAGGGCGAGTCATTGTTATGAAAATACTTTATTTGGAAAGTACCTGAGAAAATAGGTCATATGTTGTATATGGTGAGAAAAGATGCATCTTTTTAATATTCATTAAACAAATTAGAGCAGACACAAAGCAAAATAATATTAACTTACAATTCGTAAAATAATAATGCATTTTTTCCTGAAAAGCGAACTGCTTCCTGTCCAAAATGTATTAAACTAAAATGATTGACAACTTTCTCTGAAGTTCCTGAACATCACAAATATAAATGCATACTCAGGCACTTATTTATTTCTAACCGACCTTAGGTTTTAACTGTTCCTCATTTTTCTTTAATAAGAATCCACAGCGAATCATAATGAATTAGAACTACTTTAGATTTGCTGGTTGAAATGATATTCACAATCTACCTGTACAGAGAAAAACATTAATGTACGCCAGGATGCCAGAGCTAAAACCTCATTTTTAAACCTAGAGACAAGGATGGCTTAAAATGACAGAGGATATCCTCCAAAAATCTTAATCACGAATTGCTTGGCTCCTAACTTCGTGAAAAGGAGGAAGAATTGCTTTAAGAAAAATACAGTGTCTCTTCCCTGTGGCTCATTTATCCCCTTAATACTACCTGGATTGGAGCTTTAATGCACTCCTGAAATAGCACTGACTATTTGAAACCGATATGGAAAGCTGAATGTAAAAGGGACAGATTAATGGTCATTTATGAAAGATTGGAAATTCTCCCAAGTTACAATGCCCTAAACACTCTCAGTGTATGCACGATGGTGCTATGGAGATTACCAAGCAATTTATCACACACAGGTAATGGCCAGAATAATTGTCACTCTACCCAGTCACTTCCCACTGTCACTCAGAATACGCAGTTTGAGTGTGTGGGAAAAGACGTACAGTGTGGCCATGAGTTATAAGAATACAGGTGAATATACTGTAGACATAAATTAGTTTATTGACTGGATGGGCAGATGGATGAACGGATGGATGGACAGAAAGACAGACAAAAGCGAGCACTATTTTCAGAATTATTCTGATTAGGTTTGTGAGGACATGTGAGGAAACAAAAGGACCAGAAAAGGGGAGATGATCAGGAAAACACCCAGCC